TCATCGTGGGTTTGTCACTGGCTTACCACTAGCTGTCTGCATTGGGTTTCTCTTTTCCTTAAAAAGACACATGCCTGCTCATGCAAGACACTGAAAATCACCCAGTAGGCAGAAGTTGCAAAGGTGTGCCCTCTGGAGCTGGCCTTTGCTCTTCAGAAAATTGAACTCTTCATCAAGATATGTTTTTTAATTCTGCAGCAGTTCAGAGCCAGAATAGTGCATGGAGACCTCATAGCTACTTTTCAATATCTGAGGGGCCTGCAAGGAGCCGGAGAGGGACTCTGTGTTAGGAACTGCAATGATAGGACCAGGGGTAATGGGTTCAAACTGAAGGAGGGAAAGTCTAGGTTAGATATGAGAAAAACATTTTTTGCTATAAGGGTAGTGAGGCACTGGCACAGGTTGCCCAGGGATGTGGTGGCTGCCCCAACCCTGGCAGTGTTTAAGGCCAGGCTGGATGAAGCCTTGAGCAACCTGATATAATGAGGAGGTGTCCCTGCTCAGGGCAGGGGGTTGGGACTAGATGATCTGTAAGGTCCATTCCAACCCTCAAATTCTATGATTCTATGAAGTTACTGTGAGGTGCATATAAAGTGTGAGCCTAATGTTAACCACCCTGTGCTCTCCAGGTCACAGCAATTCTGAAAGACGCTGGTGTGAACAACCTCACTGTCCAAGTGGAAAAAGAAGCTTACTTTCAACACATGTCTGGACTCAGTACAGGATTTCAGGATGTCCTTGCAATGACTCAGCAGCTAGAATCCATGAAATACTACAAAGATGGAACATACATCATGTGATATAAAGCTGTGTTCCCCAAAGGAGGTGTAGGTGGTGAAGCTGTTGGATTCCATACTCATGTTTTTGCCAGGAGATCTTGCACATACATGTACAGTAACAAATGTACTATATATTTGAACTTTTTAAAGTGTAATATCTTGTTTAATTGGATCAAGATGCTTTTATAGAGGAAATAAGGACTTCAGTATTTGCTGTATATGTGAAAAAAACATAAACCTTAAATACTGTACTTGGTGTTTATTAAACTTGTAGATGAGCACGGATATATTCCATACTTTCTCTTAAGTGTGGAACAGTGGTATTGTAATTTCTTGTTAGCAGTGGGAAATGGGGATAGTTTGTATTGGAATGGAAACTGAAAAATACTTTTCTTTCTTTCCAAGATAACTTGAAGACTCTTTGAATGAAAAAAAACAACCATGTTTATGATGGGGATTAAAAATATGAAGATGTGTTTTTCATACTTTATTAGATAATGGAAATCTACAGTTTTTATATTGTCTTGGAATACAAATCTGATTTTTAAACTTAATGCACCAGAGCAAATAGATGTTGCCATTTTACATTTGTATGGAATTATTTTTTGTAAGAAAAGAAATTCACAGATTAACAGTGAGAAACTGGGAGGGTAAGAAAATGGATACACTTTTCTGTTTCCTGGGAAAACTCAGAATCATAACTCAAGCCACTCTGAAATAAACCTTTTGTCCTTTTTGTATGTATAACTGCAAATGCAATGGTTTCAAGCCTAAAAGTAATTAATCAGTGAACATCCTAGCACTCAGCTACACTTCTCCCCAAGATACATTATTCTGTGCTTTACTCAGCGTGTTCAATAATGCTGTGACACAGCTGCAAGTGTCCTGTATCTAGCTATACCTTTGTATATTACCCAAGGAAGCAGTCCAGGTTG